TGCCTACGAGGGTCGTCGTGGACGTTCCGACGAGCCCAGTACGAGTCTGGGGCACAGTTGTCACGTGGCTCAGGGCGCAAGCTGCCCCGGTGAAGCTCTCAGACGCCCCCGCCACCCCACGGGACGCTCCAATCAATGAACACTTAGGGACACGGTGGGCCACGTCTCCGCAGTGTCTGCGCAAAGGGAAGGCAGGAGGGCATATCCAAGGACCATTTTTGGACAGAATGCCCTCAGTCGAAACCGAAATAGAGTTTGCTCATATCGACTGCAGGCCCACGGCACACGGAGCCGACGTCCGACCGTCCGGCGGAGAGAGACAGGACCACCCCCTCCCCTACAGACACGCGTTACCTACCTACTTCCGGGGAGTGTGCTGAGTCACAACTACCTGGCTGTGGAATTCTCACGCGTGCACACGTGCGATGCGTGAGCTCTTGGGCTCTCAGTGCAAAGAAAAAACGCACATCACTGAGGGGGGCAAGGATGGAGGGTGGCAGGGGCTGGAGGGAGTGGCGGCGGGAAAATAGGGAGACAACGGTACTTGAACAACAATTAATAAAAATGCAAAAAATGAAAACGAAAAAAAATTTTTAAAGATGGTATGTATTTATTTTTAGAGAGGGAAGGGAGGGAGAAACAGACACACAGAGAGAGAAACATCCATGTGCGGTTACTGGGGGTCATGGCCCACAACCCAGGCACGTGCCCTGACTGGGAATCGAACCTGCGACGCTTTGGTTCACAGCCCGCACTCCAACCACTGAGCTACGCCAGTCAGGGCAGAAAAAAATTTTTAAAAATTCGGTGAGCAGGCTAAACACGGCAATGAGTGCGTGTGCTGAATCGAGCATTCCTCTCTTGTGGGCCGTGAAACGCATGACTGGGCGTGAGAGACAGCCCGTCAAGCGGGTGCCCCGTGGTGCGTCTGGGTCAGTCCGGTTAATGACAAAGCTCAGGCCCAACAATCAGGGGCCAATTATCACCTGTCACCGGGACAGCTGGCGGCGACCCACGCCCATCTGTGTCAGCCGCCCCTCCTTTGTTCCACGGGGGGTGGTCACTGGGCGTCCCCCTGGTGCACCAACATTTCACGGGTGAAACTCTGGGGTCCTCCCGGGCCCTGTTCCCGCAGGCGCCCGCGATTTCAGCTCACAGACACCTGCTCAGCGCCTCACAGATTGTACAGGGCGCACTCGCAGAACCCCTGATGGGAAGGCAGGCGTCTCTGCTATGAATAATCATGTGGTATACACGAATATGCACGGCGAGTCGGCAGATCTGAGGTGTTGACTGTGCAAACCGCCTTTCCGGCTCTCAGAGAACCGCGAGGCCCGCCCTAAGTCAGGGAGGGACAGACCCGTCGTAAAGGGTCAAATAATCTGTATTTTCGGCCGCACCAGCCCCACGGTGTCTGGTGCAAACATTCGGGTGTGTCACTGACCGGGGGAAGGAACCACACGACAAAACGGAAATGCAAGACTCAGGCCGTTTCAATCCAACTTCATGCGTAAGAGGGAGGGACTCCTTAGCTGCCGGCCACAGCTGGCTCACCGGAACCTGCACCCTGCGATTCGCGCACAGGGGAGCCTTCACGCCATCCAAACCGCCAGCAACAGTAGCCGGCGCCTGCACCTTATCAACAGTGTAAGGTGATGTATCTGTCTGCGCTTGCCTCTCTTTTTCCGCTCTGAAATATAGCCTTTTGGTGGCAAAGAAGCATCACATTCGGCAAAAACAGGCAGTATGGTGTTTTTCCTTTTTTATGGAGCTTATGTGGGTGGCACTGGCTCATCAACCTACGTCGGCTCCGGGCGTACGCTTCCGTCACACGTCCTCCGTGGGTGGCACTGTGTGGTCACCGCCCGCAGTCGGGCCTCCTTCCGTCACCACTGGCCCCCCCTTACCCTCCCCTGCCTGCCCCAGCCCCTTCCCTCCGGTCATCACCACCGCCGCCACCCTCTCGGTCATCAGTTTTGGAGCAAACGAAGCCGTCCTTGGAACACACTGAGAGTTCATTCCCAACCTCAGCTCGCCAAGACCATCCCGGACAAGTGCGCCCCTGAACCGGGAACGGCTGGTTGCAACACGGGTCGCAGACCCAGAAGGGGTCCAGTGCACCTTGGACAGAAAATCTGATTAAACTGGCATTTGAGACGAAACAGACGGAGTGAATTATGAGTGTTTCCTCGGCCCCTGCTTCTCTTCATCTATCGTCACAGGCGCTGCCCTCAGAAGAGGGTTGCACGCCTGTATTTTCTGAGCACGCCAGAAGCCTGACCATCGGAAAGCAGCTACCATGGGCAGGGGGGAGGTGGGCTGGGTGGAGGAGGGCACGCAGGGAAAATTGGGACAACCGTGGTAGAACAACAATAAAATATTTTGTATCATGTACAAGTACAAGGTGACTCCATTTCCCCCCACCCCGGTATTTCTTACACAAGGAAGCCAGCTACTCGGCAGCAGCAGACCCAGATCATAACAAACAACGCCCCGATTCACAGACCCCCGTGTCTTCCCGGAAACCCCGCACCTCTCGGAAAGGACCAGAGCTGTCCCTACCGGGGAGCTCGGGGGGTGAGAGAGAGTCGTCACGATGCACCGAGGTCGCAGGGGCAATAACCGGCCAGGGCACGGACAAGAAGCAGCCAGTGAATGTGTCGATAAGGGGAACGACAAATTGATGTGTCTGTCTGTCTCCCTCTGCCTCAAATCAATAAAGAAAAAACAATGAAAAGGAAACAACCATGGTTCCAATTAAGGAATCAAAGTCCTTTTCATTCTTAAAGTCTTGAGACTGCAGGGCAAGACTCTTTGGGTACGAGCTTCTCATCTACACCAGCCACCATCCGGGGGAGACAATCAGGGACATGGCCTTGCAGGGCCACCACTCACCGAGGGCCACCCTGATGTCACCCCGAAGCCTGCTCCCCCTCTGGCAGGGAGACGGAGTCTTGCACAAACATGCCGAGACCGGCCCGTGGTCTCCAACGCAGAGTGCACGTACACGCAGGTGCCAAAGACAACAAGGCACCTGTCAAAAGTAGGAGGGTCTCAGCCCTGGCTGGCGTAGCTCAGTGGATTGAGCGCGGGCTGCGAACCAAAGCGTCGCAGGTTCGATTCCCAGCCAGGGCACATGCCTGGGTTGCAGGCCACGGCCCCCAGCAACCGCACATGGATGTTTCTCTTGCTCTCTCTGTCTCTTTCTCCCTCCCTTCCCTCTCTGAAAATAAATAAATTAAATCTTTTAAAAAAAAGTAGGAGGGTCTCACGTGGCACTCTCAAAGTGACTGGGCACTTTGTACCACGTTCCCTGCGGGTCTCGCCACGGGGGCTCTGGTAGTAGGGGCGGTGAGCCCTCCCCCACACGGAGCGTCACGCCAGCCCCAGCCGGAGGAAGGCCGCGTCTCCTCGCAGTGGGGCGACTGGAACTGTCACCACCCACCACGCTGCCCGGGGTGGCTGCTCCAGAGGCCAGTGGGTGAGAAGGAAGATGAGACCTTCAGAGACATCATGGTTCGGCTATACACGCATGCTCCTCCAGATGGAGAAAAGATTAAAAATGTTAAAAGTCACATACGGTCAATAATATTGTGGTAATTATGTATGTACGGGGCCGGGGGGCGGGGGGTACTGGAAATACTGAGAGGAACACTCCATAAAGTTTGTGATTATCTAACCACGACGCTGTGCCCCTGAAACCGATACAAAACAAAACGGAAAAACGAATCGAGTGCGACAAGGAGAAAAAAAGGCTCACGACCCAGGAGACACGTGCTGCTCCTGATTGTTCAGCGGTCGGGGCGGATAACAGGCGTGCACGTGAAGTGCCTTGGCTAACACCGATAAAGCGCCAGGCAATAAAAAGAGCACACGGACCATTTTCTCGACCACCATCTTTCGGTTTTGCGTGTTCATGACAAAAAGAAGGACAAGATGGGATTTTATTAATTACAAATTATCTTTGGAAAAAAACCTAGTATTTTTTAATAGAGAGAAACCGAGAGAAGAATTTGGAAGCCAAGTTCGTGGAAGAGGACTTCCACACAGGGCGTGATCTTGACGATCTTCTGGAGTCCGGGACAGCTACAGAAGCTTGTTATCGCGTAAATCAATACACGGATACGATGCGGTCCGCCGGAAACTAATGCTCAAAAGCCACCTGGGCTACAACTTGCGAGCAAGGTTAGGAAGCCGGGGCGCTGACACGGGTAAGAAAACGGGTCCATAAGCAGCAGGTAACCAACACGTGACGATGAAGACAGCGTCGGCAGGGCCTGATGGACCTCGGAACCGTGAAAAGACACCCAACTGTTGACTGGAGATACCCAAAAACACACACCCTTTGAGACCCCTTGAAGCAGAGGATGAAAAGGTGCAAATTTGGCATGGCGACCTTGTCTGCGCTGACAGGCCCTCACAACCCCAGGTTGTAAAAAAAGTGTTCTTTCCACCCACTTCTCCTCCCCCTAGGCCACGCTCGGTTTCCGGTCTCCAGATGTGGAGAAGGACCCTGCGTCCTCAGTGGACCCCCAGCCTGGACTACAGGCGTGTGTCCACCACAGTGGGTTGCATGCTGCAGGGACCACGAACCGAACGCGTCAAAGGAGAGGCTGACACTGGTGCAATACCCTGACCACTCGAGACGGCTCCTCTAACACAGAGCGGGCCTCCAGGGACCAGCGGGGACAAGCGTGCACGTTTCAGAGGGTTCTACGGACAGCCGACCCTAACGACGAGACCCACTCCGCATCGCGGGTGTCCGGACGAACACACGATTCCCACACCATCCTCCATGCCCGACGCACGCCGTCACGCGGGTTCCAGCCACGCTCGAAAACGCTGCTTTGTCCTCTCCTTCACTGCAGATAGATTTTTTTTTTTTTACAGAAAACCACGTGCACCGCCCAGAGTCCCGCGAACACACTGCTAGAGCGCACTGACGTAAATTCCGCCGTAAGACACGTCCGCGGAGGTCAAGAGTCACGCTGGGCACCTACCATCACGCGGGGCTCCTTGAAGAAGGTGCCTTCAAGAACGGCTCCGCGGGAGTCCGCTGGGTCTCTTCCCCATGTCAGCACACTGTTCCCTGAGGACACACAACAGAGCAACACTCAGGGCTGTGCTCGGTCGGAGACACGCGGGACCACTTCAAAGCCACAGCCACGTTCCTCAGAAGGTCTCTCTCGGGCGGTTCCAGGCAGTAGCTGGTGGCGGTGACATCGTGCAATTCTTGGCCAGTTCCCTAGTGACTCAAGCGACACACCGAGAGGAGACACACACGAAGTGCGTGGATGCTACAACACACCACCTCGGCCCCCACGTGCCGTTCGAGAAGGGGAGCAGAGACAGCCTGCAGATGGCAATGCAGGTCTTGTGGGCTTCACCTGGGCACTGTTCGCTGTGGCTGAAGACAACACAGTGCGCGTCCGTGTCAGATCTAGCTGCTTTACATGACGAATTTAAAACCTTTAGGCCTGGCTGGCGTAGCTCGGCGGATGCAGCGCGGGCTGCGAACCAAAGCATCGCAGGTTCGATTCCCAGTCAGAGCACATGCCTGGGTTGCAGGCCACGGCCCCCAGCAACTGCACATGGATGTTTCTCTCTCTTTCTCCCCCCCTTCCCTCTCTAAAAATAAATAAAAAGAATCTTAAAAAATTAAAGTGAAACGATGAGACACCACCATGGGGTTCGTAAGATATTTCAAAGGGTAAACACCACGTTCTCTGGGTTAACAAGACGTCTTGATTTTTACCATTACATTCAGACGGCGTGGCCTCTTATACAATGCCTTACGACAGATCAATATGACCACTACAAAGAGCTGATCGTGTTGAAATGGACAGAAAACTATGTTTTATAATCTGTTTTCCCACGTAACTATACTTTACAATACACGCATCATTTGCAAAGACTTGCACTATACGTATTATTCATCTACAGAAACTCCTTTAAATGTTTTAATTTTTCACTTGCAGTAATACCTACGATTATATTAGCTCCAGGTGGAGAGTCTAGTGGTCAGACGTTTCTATACCTTGTTAGGAAGTGATTCCCGGAGAAGGCTAGAACACCCCTGACCCCACAGATAGTTACTTATTGTCTCTGATGATCTGCTGTTGAGTAGTCAAGGCACATCTGCATTGCTGAGCTGCAAACATGTTCACAAGTGTTACCATAAGAACCTCACGTGGCCCTGGCTGGCGTAGCTCCGTGGACTGAGCGCGGGCTGCGAACCAAAGCGTCGCAGGTTCGATTCCCAGTCAGGGCACATGCCTGGGTTGCAGGCCACGGCCCCCAGCAACCGCACATGGATGTTTCTCTCTCTATCTCTCTTTCTCCCTCTTTCTCCCTCCCTTCCCTCTCTAAAAATACATAAATAAAATCTTTAAAAAAAAAGAACCTCGTGTTATCCCATGGCATCTTGGCGCACACAGAGAATACAGTCAAAGGGAACAAACCTCTGAAGGAATCCGAGGTGGAAGCCACCACAGGCGCTAGACTCCACACTACGACGACGTCTCAACGGAGCCTCGCCATGTAATCTCATCTGCACCCCGGAAGGCGTGGGGGCGCCCGGAGACCTCCAGAGCCATTCCAACTGGTCCCGGGGAGCAGGTCCAGAACGTACCTGGAACACGAGACGTCAGGGTATAAATGTTTCCGTAAAACACGGCGTCCGGGAGCTCCTGACTTTTCAATCTGGCGCCACCATCACCTGGACGCCCTCACGCCCAGAGTGCCCCCAACAGGCACTGCCTGCGCACCCTGCATGGTTTCACCTCAGGAGGGTGTGCTCAGCACGGACCCTGCAGGGGACAGAACGGAGAAGGACCTCCCCAAAGACACGGTGGCCCCGCCCCTCCCCTCCAGGGCATGTGGGCTTGAGCTGCAAGAGTGTCACCAAAGCAAACGCTCATAGGTCATCGAGGACAAAGAGGTCGAGTGTCATGCTCGGAGGAGCGACAGCTCCCCGAGTGCGTCAGGAGACGGCCTGAAGGAGAGTCCGGGAGGAGGAAGGAGAGAAGGGTCACGGTCTTCAGAAGGCAGCCGATGCAAACATGCGGAGGAGGCAACGGCGGCAGACTCCCCCCCGGGGCGTCGGGACATCTGTGCCCTCATCACAACCGAGGGGACCCGGGGCTCTGAGTCAGCCGTGACTAATGCCTGCATGCGGACACGCACGCTCCCGACCGACGGGACGGCGTGAACTGAGTTTTCCAGCCCAAAGATCTGTCAGAGGTTGTTTTTAAATGTGAAAACCAGCCCTAGGGTCATGCACCGTGGATTTGAGTTTCCTTCTGAGTCACAGTGACCTGCTAAGTTTCTAAGACAAAAAAAAAAAAAAATAGGAGGAACAAGTTTCATTTGGGGAGATTTTGTGGAGTCGGTTAAAAAAAAAAGTCACACTTGAGGGAGGAAAGAACTTATCTCCACCTTTCAGTGGGGTTATCGGGATTACTTCAAATTGTGTCTGTCCACGTGCAAATGGGCGGGAACGACCTTAATTTCCACCCTAATTTACACAACCCACGTTTTATCTCCATCTCCTGAACAGAACAACCTTTCAGACTGTATCCATTTTTAAGAAGCTGCATATTTAATAAAACATCTGTCTCTGCCTTGGATTGGCTTCCAAGTTCTAATGCAACGTTGAAACGGTTTCATTCTTAGCGTGATGAAGGTCAAACAAAAATAACACAAAGGCAAATTTCAATTTGGGATTTAACAAGACTGAAGTAAAAATATATATATATATAGAATGAATTTTACAAGTCCACTCCTCCAGATTCACCCCACGAGTGTCATGAATTCAAAAGACATTGGTTTCTTGCCCACGTGGGTGATTTCGACCCAAATCTTGAGAAGCAGGCGCAAAGCACAGGTCGTCCACCCCTCCCCCGCAAACGGCGGGAATAACAGCACACACAGTAGGTTGACAGCTTTCAGGTACCACTGGAAACAATTCAGCTCCCAAATCCTTACCATCCCCACAATCTATCAGCCCCACTTGTCTGGGATGGACCAGAACGGGAAAAAGTTGACAAAGCGTTTCTCTGACACCATCTTAAAAAAAAAAATTGCCCCCCAAACTGTGAAAAACCTTTGGGGGGCACCCATACTGGCAAGGAGGATTTTGAAGGCTAAGTCATGTTTAAGAACGAAATTGTGTAAGAACGTTGAATGACCCATCCATTCTCAGTACCTCCCGCCAGTCGATCAACACCAAACTGAGCAACCAAGGAAAGTCTTCCCTTGCTCCGGTGACAGACAACATTCCTCCTCCAACAAATTGGTTCAAGGAACACAGGTGTGCTGTCCTGGTGTCCCCGAGTGGCCTCGCCCTCCAGGAAAACTGTGGTCGGTGCCCTGGGGACCCTTGTCCCAAACAGGCAGCGTTCGGTTTCTCATCCGTCCCACGACTATCAAGACGGCGTCTCCCAGCCACTCACTCCTTCAACAAACACCCAGGGGGAACTCGGACGGACTCGCGACACTCATACTTGAAGGGGGGAACGTCGATGACACGTGAGGAGACAAGTTTGGGGGAGCCCCGAGAAGGAAGGAAATGGGGGACTCCCACGAAAGCAATCGCACGTCCAACCAGCTCGACGCGGAAAGAGGGAAGAAGCATGTTCCAGGCAGACAGACACACGAGGTGGTTCATGAAAACGCCCTGATCTGTACGCGCTCAGCTGCACGGAACCAGAGACAACTGGTATACCCGCAGTGCCGCAAGCAGACCCTGCAGGGCGGAGAGGGGGTAGAGGCAGAGGCACGCACGGCGCCTGAGCATAAGAGGGAGCCTTCCTTCCTAAAACACTCGGACCCGGGAAAAGGGTCGCTGGGTCAAAGATTCCTACAAAGGGCCCGCCTTCGACGCCCACGACGCGTCCCTGTTTGAGAGTCCCTCGGGTGCCTCGTGAACGTACTCATTCTGCAAACACTGTGACGAGGTGGGTCCCCTCGTCCCCACTCTCTCACAGACGATAACAGTGGAACGTGGAGGTCAGCGGCTAGAATTCTCGTTGCTAGGAGACAGGAGGGGGCCTGGCCCGTCTGGCGGCAGTGGGTGAGGACCGCAGACGCATGTGGGCGGTGCCTGTCAGAGGCGGAGGGGCCGGCGAGTGCATCAAGCTGTGGCTCGAGGGTGGACACGGGTGGAGGAAGAAAAAAATAGTGAGAAGAGAACTGGGAGCCGATGTTTTGGCCTTGACCCTGGCTCTGGACAGAGCCCCGAAACCCCTTGGCGATTCCTGGGTGCTAGGCGTATGTTTTGTTCTAAGGAGAAGGCTCTTGGTGGGTCGATGGGTAGCTTCAGGATGGGGCGGGGGGCTGGCCACCAGGAAGCTGTGATTGGGAACTCGGAACTTCGGCACCCACCCCCACTCTCCAGGAAGGCGGGAGGGGCTGGAGGTGGGGTCCGTGAGGGGTCATGCCTCCCTGACACAGCTCCCCGAAAAACCTTACAGGCACAGAGCTCAGGAAGCTTCTGGGTGTCTGAGCCCGTCCACGGCCCAAGAAGGGAGGCACCCCAAGTTCACGGGGAACGAGTTCCTGTGTCCGGTCCCTTCCAGAGCTCGCCTCCTGTTCCCCTTCCCCTGGCTGCCCACCTGTACCTGCCATCACAGCCTTGACAAGATAATCAACTGCTAAAAGTGTAGGTAACCGTTCCCCTGAGTTGTGTCAGCTGTTCTAGCAAATTCTGCAACCCGGGAAGGCTGTCCTGGGTACCCGAGCCCCATGGGGAAGTCCTGGGTAACCCAGGGAGCTGCAGCTTACAATTAACCCGTGAAACGGGGCTGGGAGGGTCGGGGGGTGGGGGGTAAACCGGGTCTTGAACCCGTGAGGTCTCTTCTAGCACCAGTTCCCGTCAGAACTGGAGTGAATTTGGGGACATCCGGCTGGTGTGACAGAGAGTGGCTCGGTATCTGGGGGCCGGGGGGGGAGGGGGACAGACACACACAGGTGGTGACAGAAAGGTTCGTTGAGTGTGCAAACACAGGACAAACACACGAGCGATATCCCCAAGCAACACGGGAGAGAGGAAGACAGCGGTGACCCACAGCCCTGGATGCATCGGGGAGCAAGAAGCCAAGGGCACGTGCCGTCGTGGGTCCAGAGCCGCTCCCTCTGGTTGGAGCTCCCAGCATCCCCGGAGGCTGGAGACGCCGGTGAAGGGGCCCGGCGTGCTTCCTGGCAGGCTCTGGGCCGGACAGTCGCCTCCTGCAACCTACAACTTAGAAGGCGGAGCGGGACGAGTCTTCACACTAGCGCCTGCCCCACCGCTGAGTTTCAGCGCCTTTTAGATTCTCGCACGTCAGGACCGCCGGGCACCCAGCTTTTGCCAGCTTGGAGCTGCCGGGGGAGGTGGATCCCCGGATTCTGTTAAAAACGACGCAGTTTCGCATTGCGAGCCTCCCCTGCTGTGTGCGACATCTCCCCGGGCCACGCTGACGTTTATTCACAAACTACAGGCCCCGCCGCCGCCGCCGCCGCCGCCGCTAATCACGGCTGCAGATGAGCAGCATTCGAGTCAAGAGTCTTAATTACCAGGGTCGCGGCTCTCGAATCCCACGCAACTGGGGCTGGGAAGGACGGGGAGGTGGGGCCGGCCCACGCGTCTTCCCGCGGAGGGGCGTGCAGCCCGCCGCTGGGTTCCGAGCACTGCCCGAGAGCAGGGGTGCCCACCCCGACTCTGGAACTCACGGGGGGTGCTGCGATCTCCCTCGGGCCTGATGGCACGGAGGTGGTGCCCGGGAAAGACAACGGTCCCGCTCTGCTGGACCGTCTTGGAGAGCCAGGGAGGAAGTTAGTCTCCTGCGGTAAGAGCGGGGGGCATGGCCGAAGGTGCTGGGTGGGCCCCGCTCCCGTCGAAGGCCCCAGGGGCGGGGACTCCTTCCTCCTCCTCTTCCAGACTCAGGGGGCTGGGGGCGGCCCGTGGCTTTGCTGGGCTGGCAGCTCCATCCCGCCGATGTCTGCACCCACCTGCTACCTGAGCGTCTGAGTCTGGGTCTCACCTCCGCCTTCCCGGCAGCTGAGTCTTCCCGGGGCATTCCCGCCCCTTCCTCACACGGGTGGGGGGGGGGGGCGGACTAGCCCCACGGGACGACAGCCCACTTTTAATAGCTCCCCTTCCCGTTCCACGGGCAGGGACCTAATTTCCAAATAGGGGCACACAGTATGGTGTCGGGGTTCGGACTTCATTATGTCTCTGTGGGGGAACAATTGAACCCACGGCGCCTGGTTTATTTGTCACAGGAGCTGGTCGGACTGATGGTGTTTTTGACTCAAGGTTCTCCGCGTTGAAGCTGGAAACAGGGTGAGAAAATTGCAGTGGGTCCCTCTCTCTCTCTCTCTCTCTCTCTCTCTCAGGCATGTGTCAATATGCAAAAACGGGAATTGGGTATTGCAGAAACAGGACATTTGGATGGTGGACTTATCTGGAAGGGTTTCCTCTCAAGCAGGTCTTTTATCCTCCTACCTACCAAAGCCACCTCAGCGCTCGTGCATGTGGGCAGGGCATGCAGGAGTGACACCAGGATGCTGAGCTCTCTGTACAATGCAGACTCCCCAGCGCACCCGCCACCCCCACCCCGCCGGCCCCCGAGGGAGCTGCGGCCACCGGCA